TGGAGGGGGGAAGACCAGAAAAGACCCCCCCAAAAGAGCAGAGACCCCACCTTGAGGGGTGACCCCAACTTTGAGGGGGGACCCAACCTTGAGGGGTGACCCCCAACTTTGAGGGGTGACCCCAACTTTGAGGGGTGACCCCAACCTTGAGGGGTGACCCCCACATTGAAGGGGGATCCCAACCGTGAGGCGTGACCCATCCTCGAGGGGTGACCCCAACCTCGAGGGGTGACCCCAACCTCGAGGGGTGACCCCAATTTTGAGGAGTGACCCCAATCTCGAGGGGTGACCCCAATCTTGAGGGGTGACCCCCACATTGAAGGGGGATCCCATCCTCGAGGGGTGACCCCAACCTCGAGGGGTGACCCCAATTTTGAGGAGTGACCCCAATCTCGAGGGGTGACCCCAATCTTGAGGGGTGACCCCCACATTGAAGGGGGATCCCATCCTCGAGGGGTGACCCCAACCTCGAGGGGTGACCCCAATTTTGAGGAGTGACCCCAAGACCCCACCTTGAGGGGTGACCCAACTTTGAGGGGTGACCCCAACCTTGAGGGGGTGACCCCAACCTTGAGGGGTGACCCCCCATTGCCTTCTGCCCCCCCAGACAAAACCATCATCATGTGGAAACTGACCCGGGATGAGACCAACTACGGGATCCCCCAACGGGCCTTGCGCGGCCACTCCCACTTCGTCAGCGACGTCGTCATCTCCTCCGACGGCCAATTCGCCCTCTCGGGCTCCTGGGACGGAACCTTGCGCCTCTGGGATCTCACCACGTGAGCCTGGGAAGGGCTGGGGAGGTTGAGGAGGTCATCAATGACCTCAGTGTTGAAGAAGAGACCAACCAACTCAACCTTTTTTGGGGGGTTTTCATCCCGCCGGCGCCATTTTGGGTCGTGTCGATGAGTCGATGTGACGTTGGGATGTGTTGGGGTTTGGTGGGATCTTGATGGGGTTTGCTGGGGTCTTGATGGAATTTTTATGGGATTTGGTGGCATTTAGAGGGTTGATGAGGTCATCAATGACCTCAGTGTTGAAGAAGAGACCAACCAACTCAACCTTTTTTGGGGGGTTTTCATCCCGCCGGCGCCATTTTGGGTCGTGTCGATGAGTCGATGTGACGTTGGGATGTGTTGGGGTTTGGTGGGATCTTGATGGGGTTTGCTGGGGTCTTGATGGAATTTTTATGGGATTTGGTGGCATTTAGAGGGTTGATGAGGTCATCAATGACCTCAGTGTTGAAGAAGAGACCAACCAACTCAACCTTTTTTGGGGGGTTTTCATCCCGCCGGCGCCATTTTGGGTCGTGTCGATGAGTCGATGTGACGTTGGGATGTGTTGGGGTTTGGTGGGATCTTGATGGGGTTTGCTGGGGTCTTGATGGAATTTTTATGGGATTTGGTGGCATTTAGAGGGTTGATGAGGTCATCAATGACCTCAGTGTTGAAGAAGAGACCAACCAACTCAACCGTTTTTGGGGGGTTTTCATCCCGCCGGCGCCATTTTGGGTCGTGTCGATGAGTCGACGCGATGTTGGGATGTGTTGGGGCTTGGTGGGATCTTGGTGGGATCCTGGTGGGACTTGGTAGGATGTTGGTGGGTTTTGATGGGATCTTGATGGGATTTTGGTGAAATCTTGATGGGATTTAGTGGGATCTTGGTGGGATTTCTTGAGGTTTTGATGGATTTTGATGGGATTTGAGAAGTTTTGATGGGATCTTGATGGAACTTGGTGGGATCCTGGTGGGATTTCTTAGGGTTTTGATGGGATTTGATGGGATTTCTTGGGATTTTGATGGGATTTACTGCGATTTTGATGCGATTTGGTGGGATTTTGATGTGATTTGGTGGGATTTTGATGGGATTTGGTGGGATCTTGGTGGGATTTTTTGGGGTTTTGATGGGATTTTGATGGATTTTGGTAGGATTTTGATGGCTTTTGATGGGATCTTGATGGGACTTGGTGGGATTTTGATGGGGTTTGGTGGGATCTTGGTGGGATTTCTTGGGGTTTTGATGGGATTTTGATGGGATTTGATGGGATTTCTTGGGATTTTGGTGCGATTTTGATGGGATTTGGTGGGATTTTTTGGGATTTGGTGGGATTTTGATGGGATCTCGATGGAACTTGATGGGATTTTGATGGGACTTGATGGGATTAGAGGGGATCTTGGTGGGAAATGCCCCCTCCCCCCCCAGGGGCACCACCACCCGCCGCTTCGTGGGCCACACCAAGGACGTTTTGAGCGTCGCCTTCTCCTCCGACAACCGGCAAATCGTGTCGGGGTCCCGGGACAAAACCATCAAGCTCTGGAACACCTTGGGGGTCTGCAAGTACACGGTGCAGGTGAGCTCCAGGAGCAAGGTGGGCTTCCATCACCCACCTCCAGGAGGGAAAGGAACCTCCTGGGAGGTGGATTTGGGGCCTTTTCCACCCGATTTGGGGCTTCCCGATGATGACGAGCACGACGACGTCACCGACCTCTCCCTGAGGGAAGAGGTTTGAGGTCAAAGTCCTGCAATGCTGAGGGTGGAGGTGGAAGGTTCCAACCCTCTTGGGACAAGGTTGGGATGATCCCAACATGGTTCCTCACCTTGGGATTCCTCTTCTCCAGGATGAGAGTCACTCGGAGTGGGTCTCCTGTGTCCGTTTCTCCCCCAACAGCAGCAACCCCATCATCGTGTCCTGCGGGTGGGACAAGTTGGTCAAGGTGAGATGGGGACCCACCTTCTTCTCCTCGAGGTTCTGGCCACCTCAAAAAAATGGTGGCTTTTTTGGGGTTTTAATCCTTATTTTCTGGTCTTCTCAGGTTTGGAACTTGGCCAACTGCAAGTTGAAGACCAACCACATTGGCCACACAGGTTACCTGAACACGGTGACTGTGTCTCCTGATGGTTCCCTCTGTGCTTCTGGGGGCAAGGTGACGTGTCACGTGGTGTCCCACCACCTCTTCCCACCTCATTCCCAACTTTCCAGACCTTCATCCTGGTGGGAACCACCCCCATGGATCTACCTGGGCTTGGTGTGGAGGGATAGATCAGGGAGGTGGTGATGAATGATCAAGGAGGAGATGTTGACCAACATGCAAGGAGATGTTGACCTACATCCAAGGAGATGTTGACCAACATCCACGGAGATGTTGACCAACATCCAAGGAGGTGTTGACCAACATCCAAGGAGATGTTGACCAACATCCAAGGATCTCCTGGAGCTTCTCAAGCCTTGAGGGGTTTTCTTGGGATGTTTCTCAGGGAATCTGGTCAAGTCATCCCATGGTTGGGGTGGGAAGGGACCTTTTTTGGGTGGAGAACAGGACTTTTTTGGGGCAGAAGAGCTTCAGAGGGATGTCCGAGCTGGAGTTGTTTTGCTCCAAGGTCTTCTCCTTGCTCCTCAGGATGGTCAGGCCATGTTGTGGGACCTGAACGAGGGGAAACATCTCTACACTCTGGATGGAGGTGACATCATCAACGCCCTGTGCTTCAGCCCCAACCGCTACTGGCTCTGCGCGGCCACCGGGCCCAGCATCAAGATCTGGGTGGGTCACCTGGGCACCCCAACCTCACCTGGGCACCCCAACCTTCTCACCTGGGCACCCCAACCTTCCTTCTCCACCTGGTCACCCCAACCTTCTCACCTGGGCACTCCAACCTTCCTTCTCCACCTGGTCACCCCATCCTTCTCACCCCAACCTTCTCCATCTGGTCACCCCAATCCTCTCACCTGGGCACCCCAACCTTCTCCATCTGGTCACCCCAACCTTCTCACCTGGGCACCCCAACCTTCTCACCCCAACCTTCTCACCTGGGCACCCCAACCTTCTCACCCCAACCTTCTCACCTGGGCACCCCAACCTTCTCCATCTGGTCACCCCAACCTTTTCACCTGGGCACCCCAACTTTCTCACCCCAACCTTCTCACCTGGTCACCCCAACCCTCTCACCTGGGCACCCCAATCTTCTCACCCCAACTTTCTCACCCGGGCACCCCAACCCTCTCACCTGGGCACCCCAATCTTCTCACCCCAACTTTCTCACCTGGTCACCCCAGCCTTCTCACCTGGTCACCCCAACCTTCTTCATCTGGGTCCAGGTTCCCCCAGAAGACCCAGACCCTTCCCAAGTCGTTGGGTTTGGAGCCACCTTGGTGGCCCAGATCCTGCCCGTGGGTCTTGGGAGGAGCTTTTCCTTGGGTGGGGTGACCTCACCTGTGATGTCACCCCCTGGTGACATCACCCCCTGGTGACATCACCCCCTGGTGACATCACCCCCTGGCCCAGGGGGCTTGTGGTGCCCCCACGCCATGATGAAACCTTGATGCCATCTGAGTTGTTTCCATGTGGAAGATCCAGAGGCTGTTTCTGAGCGTCCCTTGGGCTCCATCTCCAACCTTTGGGGTTCAAGGTCCCTCCCCAAGTTTCCTCCCCCAGGTTCCTCCCCCAGGTTCCTCCCCAAGGTTCCTTCTCAAGGTTCCTCCCCAAGGTTCCTTCTCAGGGTTCCTTCTCAAGGTTCCTCCCCCAGGTTCCTTCTCAAGGTTCCTTCTCATGGTTCCTCCCCAAGGTTCCTTCTCAAGGTTCCTCCCACAGGTTCCTCCCACAGGTTCCTCCTCAAGATTCCTTTCCCAGGTTCCTCCCCCAGGTTCCTCCTCAAGGTTCCTCCTCAAGGTTCCTCCCCCAGGTTCCTCCCCAAAGTTCCTCCTCAAGGTCCCTCCATAAGGTTCC